GAATATAGGAAAAGAGCAATGACAAAAGCCCTCTAGAATCGTAAAGCTGCCCCGTGCTGTCACCGGTCAGTCCGTTATGTAAGAGATGAAGGTACTAACTGGTAAAAATCCAAATGAGAAGTGTCAGAAGAATGATACGAAACACTAACCAAGGATGAGAAGACTGGCATGCACAGGAAGGAAACAACCACCACGTTGACATCCTGTTTGCATTCATACTCATCAAGCATCTTTTTCTAGGCGCACATCATTCGAATCTTCTGCTAGAAGCCATTATCATTATACTCTTCCTGTTTATCAGCCTCATGCCCTCACGCTGAGCTCACAGAATGATTATGGAAACTGTTGGATGGTAATCGGATTAGTCCGAGCACTTGACAGATCATGAGTTCTGTTGGAGCGGTCCCACCGCTTTGTTCTTCTGTCTAGTTTAATAAGGTCTTCTGGTACGAGGGGTCGGACGTGAACATGTACAACAACAGTCTGTCGTTACCTTGTCTTTAAACTCAGTAGCTCCGAATCAGCACCTGCTAAACACTGTCCATACAGTTCTTGAATTATCAGCCTTATTTAAAGATGCATCCATTGTTTTTTGCACATTTGGGCGTCACAAAAATACTTTTTTCAATTCAACATCCTGCACAAATGTTGCCATAAAGCCAAAACCGTGAGCTGAACGGAGTTAAAACAGTAAAGCAGAGGCGACTTTTAGACTTTAGACTTTTATTTTACATTAGTTTGTTTCCGAAGGGGATTCTCCCTTTTCTCTTTCTGGTAGCTCTAATTCTGTAGAAGCTTGTCCTTTGCTTGTTGTATATTCTACAGTGGATATGCAGAAACACATGGGTGCTAACTTAAAGCATCTGGGGTTCATGTCGAAAATATGAAGCCATAAATTGTAATCTAAATATAGCTGCCAGTGTGCTTGTTGTTTACAGTGTTTCTCTAACTCCAAATTAGCATCCACATAACTCACTGCTTGTCTTTCTGTTTTCAGGTGTCCTCATCTTGTGTTCCAGCAACAAACTATGAGTTGGTAAGCAACAGTGTTTCTTTTCTTTTTTCTTTTTTGTTTTGGTAATTGCTTCCATGCTGTACTTATTACAGTGTCTGTCTTGGTGCAGAATTGTTACAAATAAGGTTGGAAAGTAACATGCTCTATCAGCTACACTAGCACAGCAGTCACTATAGCAGATAATGGTCCATTATCTGGAGGCCCCCAGAGACAAACTTGTGATTTGGGGCTATATAAATAAACCTGACATTGCTCGACTTAACCGTTGTTTGGCAGGTCGTTTTCTGTTCTGATAAGGTTATAAAGGTTATAGCTTTTGGAATAAAAGTTTAAAAAAATCTTCTGGATAAGAAAGGTAAATAAAAAGCTGTGCTATTGAATCTGCTATATCATGATGACGACTTTTGGTCTTTGAAATAACACTGAGCAATGTGGGACGTATTCTGGGTATGAAAAGATTCTGCAAGAGCCATAAAATATTCGCTTGCTCGGTTGCCTTATATGGTATTGACATACGAGGCTGTGTTAGACTTGGATATGATTTGCTTGCTCGCTTCATCGAATGTTGTGTGTTTAAATGGTTTTGGGCGCTTGACAAACCAAAGCAAATATCCCCTGCACTTTTCTGTGCTCACACAGAAAATATTTCTTGAAATTGTCTTATTTTGTTTTTAAAAGCAGCAGTAATTAAGAAAGAACATGTTATTATCCTTGCAGTTGCCTTGGCACTAGATGCCTTCTCCATGAAGACATCTGTTTGAGATGTGCAGAGGCATGAGGCTAAGCTCTCTGGGCATTGTTAAAGGCATGTGTTTGAATTCATTGCTTTCTGAAACACCTTTGGGATGCAGAGGGCAAGATTTTACCACAAAAATAGATTTCACTGCTATCTGTTGGCCTCTATCAGTTTTTCCCCCCCACCTTTTTCATCTGACACACTCCTGCAGCCGTCACATGGACTAGGTTCAAGTTTCACCAATTTAGGTGTTTATCCAGAGTAGGGCTGCCACGATTAGTCGACTAGTCACGATTACATCGACTAACAAAATCGTCGACGACTGATTTAATAGTCGATGCATCGTTTGAAATTTTGTAAGATCACAAAAGATGCAGGAATAAGTAGTAGGATTTAAGAGTGTAATAACGGACTGAAACAGAAGATGGCAGCACCGCATGTACAAGGATGCCAGCTGCCGTTAAACCCCGAAGAAGAAGAAGTAGCTCTGTCCCAGAATTTATAGAGTGGCCCAGCTCTGTTTCCAACAATGGCGGCAGGTAGTTAGTTTTAATATTACTCTTATTATTCTTTCTTGGTCTCAAAATAACCATTTAACATATTTTCAGGCGACAATGTAGCTGTGTAAACCTCAAATATCCGCTCAGTTTATGAAGACACCACATATTTTCAAAAGCTGACGTTTTCGGAGTTGTCTGTTACCCGCTAGCTCGATAGCTAGCTGGGGGCTAGGCTCACTAGAGCCGTGAGAACACCGGACTCAGGGCAAATCGTTTTCAAACCCACCGCCGTCTTTCGCTACTCAGGTTAAACATATATAAGGCACTTAGATAACTTACAAATGTTATTGTTTGGATTTTTTTTTTGTATTTTATTTGTTCCTGAGTAAATTGGTTTGGCTTTTTAGTTAGCACTTACCTTAAACACTTAAAGCTGTAAGCTAATGATAGTTGTATAAGAGCAGATGCATGCTGGTGCAATAAGCTGTATGTTTTACGTCCAATGGATGATGATCTGATTAGTTGACTAATAGCAAAAATAATCGGTGACTAGTCAACTATCAAAATAATCGTTTGTGGCAGCCCTAATCCAGAGTTTTAAGTAGTTTATTAGTAGTATAGTAGTATTTTAATAATCAACGGTAAGGAAGAAAAAACAATTTATCCGCTAGACATATGTGTGTCATGTCAAAAATACACATATAAATAATATTGAAAATTTAAAAAAATATGCCTTTTTTAATGCATTTGTACAGTTGTGTAACAGACACTGTATTCATTATCATTCATGATGTTTTTCATACCCACATTTTTCAAGCGGTGTGGAGGACACTTTTTTAGTAGTATTGAAATACAGATTTAAAAAATATTTCTGTCTTAATTGGTTGTGTATTGCTGAAGAAAGCAGAGGCAAACAGTAACTGCAGGGCAAATCTCGACAGTCTATCTCTTGAGCTTGCCAAAAGGCGTCTCCCTCGAGGCTTTTATGCCTGCATTAAAGGTGCTGATTGCCTCCATAAACACGGACAGGCTGAGGTGTAAAACACTGGTTGACGTGTCTTTACTGTACTGCTGAGGAGAGAGGAAGAAACACAGAAATGTTAAAGCTGAGGGAAACAATGGATTTCAACACAAACAATGGCACAAAATTTTCTAAAAATACAACTGCAGATACTGAAGAGGAAATGGGAAGCATGAAAAATAAACACAGTGGTGGACACCTGCTTTTATGCACCTGAAGTTTTCCAAAGACTTGTGGGGTTAAGTTTTGTTGGTAAGCTTTGCTGTGTTTGGTTTTTAAAGTGCAGTATGTATTACAGAAATGAGTAAGTAATTGTGTTTGTGCGTCACCTCTCTGGTGTGTGACAGGAAACTGGATGGTGTGTGTGTGTGTGTGTGTGTGTGGACGTGAGAGTGTGCATGCCTGCGAGGCCTGAGGTGTGCTCTCAGTCAGCTCTCCTCAGCCCTTGTTTGGTGAATTCCTTTGCTCACAGCCAAAGGCGACGTGATTTACTGCCCTGCATCAGGTACACTCTGATTGACCATATATTAACTCAGTTGGAGAAAAATGCTGAAAAAAAATAGAAAGTTTTTTTTTTATTTTTTTAATCCAGACATTCCAGTAAGATTGACGGGCTACAACTGGAAGAAATTCAACTTTATTACCAGATGATCGCGCTCCTTATATAATGAATCTCATGCAGCTGCTACTCGGCTACAGATGAAAATAAACAGTGCTTAATGAGTTTAATATTTTATTTGAATATGGATTTTTTTTTTTTTTTTTTTATTCATTACATGTCCAAACAAAAGTTAAAAAAAAGTAAAATTTGGAAGCAACAAAATTGGTTCACAGCAAATGCATCTTGTTTTTGGCTTTTCATTAAACCACAACATCATGACTGCAATGAGGTGTTTAGTAGGTGCTGCGGGAGCTTTTGAAATCTTTGATCTTCCTCAGCAGGTGGAGTTGAAATTGCAGATATTCAAAGCCTTTTTTCAGAGCATTTGAAGTGGAGTTTATTATGTATAAGAACTCAATTTCAAAAGTTTTTGTTTTTTTTTCTATTCTCGGATCCTGGCTGTCACCAAGAGTGCCTATCCATAATGCCCTTACTAGGTATGCAGAGGCCCTATTGTCCTGCTGTTCAAACCTTTTTTGAGGGGGAATGGCCAGTCAGAAGAAACTTCGCTGAATTTCAGGGTGGCCTTTAAGTGTGAGGACCTAAAACCGGTTGGTTTTAAACAGTATCAAAGATGTGCGATGTAGCTACCCTGATGTCATGTACTGGTTTGTGAACTTCTCGCATAAAGTCTTAAGCTGACTGATTTCTCATAATCAGGTTGGTGTTTTGAAATTGGATATAATGAGTGAAGGGGTCAGCTGACAGTCAAACCGCATGTTCATTGGCTAACAACCATCACATCCTGTATAATTCTCCTTTCAGACTCTAATAATGGCAATAATTCGCAAAATGAACGTAATTGTTTGTTGAATGTGACCCCAAAGTAGTGACTGACCCTTAAAAAATTTATCAGGATAATGTCTACAAAGGTCAGGGCCGAGGGCTATTTTCACCATATTCTACAGGAGCGAAGTCATTTTGCAACTACAGCTATTGCCCCCTGGTGGTCATTTAACAGACTGCAGGTTTAAGGCAATTCTGCGAATCAGAGGGCCCTATAAAGGCCCAGTATAAGATAAAAAATGATTATTTTGAACTTTAAATGACGCAGACCTACTCTAGGAGATACCAAGAATAAAAGTAGGGAGCTGTACTGTAAATGAGCATAACTGATCCCCTTTGAAGGACCTGTTATCACAACAGCTGGGAGTAAAAGTTTGTTCTTGATACTGGTGGTGCTTTTGATTTAATCAAATATCATTAAAAAAAGAGTGCAGACTTATCACCATTATTTAAGTGTTAAGAGAATCGACTTTTCTCATTGCTTAAGGTAAATCTGTCTCCATAGCAACTGGTTTAAGGGCACAGCACAAAGCTAGTCCAACAGTGCAGGGCACTGTGTGAACTAAGCTGGATAGATGCAGCTTTTAAATGTACGTATTTTTATTCTGGTCTCAATCAAACTGTGGATGATAAAGCCAGATGAACGGTTAGAGTAATAATTTTGTACTTATGAATAAAACTTAACAGCACCAGCATTAAGTCAATGATACTGTGAAATTGGTGCTTAGTGATTTTAGTATGTTGTAGCAATATACTGGTGACTACCTCTGGAGTGAATTTGAAATGATTCAACCCATGGCTGGAAGGTGATGCCAACATTTACTGTAAGTGATGATGTGCGTTTCAGATATCTTCAACTGTTGAAGATGACAGCAACTGCCTCCAACTAGCCCCCTCTTGGGTGAGGGGTGCCCAGTGTGCCGTGGAGCATGCTGGGAGCATTCCTCAGATATTCCCTCATGTTGAGCTCATATTGCCAGGAATCAGTTTTATTTTGCACAGCCCTTAGATGAGGGTACGTGGGCTGTCGTGGAGATGTTAGGTGTTCTCACCGGTGAGATAGGCTGCACATTTGTTCTCGCAAGTAAAGGTATGCACACACTCAGAGAACCATAAACCACTAACACCTACGTCATCCACCATTTTTTTAATATAGGTCTTGTGTAGTCAGGGAACAGGGCCAGGACATCGCTGAGTAATGAGTAACTGCAGGGCAAAGATGGTGTAGATGTGGTCCAATTAGTGCTGCGTTTAGAACCACACATATTTCCCCAATGTGCCCTGTGTTACGCTGTGTATACAAGCAGCAACCAGGGA